GTTATCTTCATCTTCGTTGCCATATTCACAACGTTTCGGCCTCTATATCTCTGAGATGAGGTATTATGATTACTTACATTATTTACATTATTCGGACTGTTATCTTCATCTTCGTTGCCATATTCACAACGTTTCGGCCTCTATATCTCTGAGATGAGGTATTATGATTACTTACATTATTTACATTATTCGGACTGTTATCTTCATCTTCATTGCCATATTCACAACGTTTCGGCCTCTATATCTCTGAGATGAGGTATTATGATTACTTACATTATTTACATTATTCGGACTGTTATCCTCATCTTCATTGCCATATTCACATCGCTTCGGCCTCTATATCTCTGAGATGAGGTATTATGATTACTTACATTATTTATATTATTCGGACTGTTATCCTCATCTTCATTGCCATATTCACAACGTATCGCCCGCTATATTTCTGAGATGACGTATTATGATTACTTGCATTATTTACATTATTCGGACTGTTATCCTCATCTTCATTGCCATATTCACAACGTTTCGGCCGTTGTACGATGCAGCCTTCCTCAGGTCATTGGAATTTCGAACCGCACGCTTTATTTCGTCCACCGGGGTAGATTGTTCTTGTTCCATGTGCCATGCCTCTTCCGGATGTCTCAGTTATTTCCCTTTAACACAACTCGTTGAGTTTTGGTTCACCACTGCTGTGGCTTGGTATTAAACTCACAAGTCTTTGTCACTAGATCTGAGCAGCGTCTTTATCCACTGAGTCATGTGTCCTTGAGGCAGAGGCATGGCACGTGGAACTAGAACAATCTAACTACATCCTTTCACGTTTGCGTCTACTCTTCCTACTATTCAATGTCCCAGCGGTAATCGAAATATCAGATCAGACAACGTTTCCACTCATTTATTTTCCAAGTTTGATTATTAGCGAATTTTAGCATCAGCTTTTTTTTTATCTGACAGTATTGGTTCCTGGCGTGTTCGACTACTGCTGTAGCTCATCTGCTTCAAGGTTCGACATGTTGTACATTCACAGACGGTATAGTGGATAGTTGATCTACTGGTGCCTTTCTATCAGCTTAAGCCAGTTGGTCATTCCGCGTCGACCTATTTCGCCGACAAGGAATTCCTACCTATTGACTGGATTTTCTTTTCTTGACCACTCGCTGGAAACAATAGAAATGGTAGTACGTAAAAATCCTTAGTAGGTCAGGAATTTTTGAAATAGTCAGACTGCCCCTCTGACACGAACCACTTAATTTAATCCACTAAATACATAAAAATGAAATGAAATTTAGCAGGTCGCCATAGATATTTTAAATGCCTGTATCCATTAAATTGAGAGTACATCACAAGCAGATTAAAAATTTACTTAAAAATATTTGTTCACATGGTAATTAATTAACATGTGTGTGACTGTATGTTCATGAATATGAATAGATATATTGATATAAATGAATACATATATATGTATATATATATATATAATATATGTATATATATATATATAAATAGGTATAATGATATAAATACATCAATATATATATATATATATATATATATATATATTTATATGTATGTATTTATATCAATATATGTATTAATATTCATGCACATTCACTGCACACACACATATATATATATATATATATATATATATATATATATATATATATATTAATTCTATAAAGAAACAGATAAAAAAACTGCCTACTCAAAAAATGTGTGCATAAATTAAAAATAGTAATATTTAATTCTATTTATACCTATAATATTTGTAACCAATTTATTTGTATGAAGATGTTGATCTAAGGAACTAGAATTGAATTTTCATCCTAAGGAAATAAATTACAATCATCATGAAACCTTAAAGTTGTCTGTTTCTTAATAATAATAATATTTGCTCTGTTTTTACATTGAGCTCTCTGGATTATATCCTCCTTGGAATTATCCATATGGATTACCAAAACACACACACACACACACACATATATATATATATATATATATATATATATATATATATATATATACACACCAATTACCAATTGATATATATATATATATATATATATATATATATATATATATATATATATATATATATATATATATATATATCAATTGGTAATTGGTAGCGATAATTCCAAGGAGGACATTAATCCAAAGATAGCTCAATATAAGGGATGCGCACCTTGTCGTGGTGTAATTGTTAGTAAGCTTGTCTCGCTAGAACAGTTACGACTGAGAAGTGAGTTCGATCCTCACTAGTTGCCTCATACTTTAGGCCTTGTGCCACATCTAAGCTACGCTTAGAAAATAATTATATATATATATATATATATATATATATATATGAGCTGCAATACAGAAGTTTTGAGATTATTCAGAAGAATCAATTATTAATTTCAAAGAAGTCCAAACCTTCTCTCTCCTTCAAAATGGGATTCTTTGACTTCAATTCTCTTCGTGTAACCACTGCAGACACTTCGGAAAGGCACCATGGAAATTATCCAAAGCGAAGTTATCCAAGATCCTTGTCACAGCGCCCTTCAATTCAATGTTTTCAGAATGTCTGACCCTGTGGTTCCACTTCATCCTGTGGATCAGCCAAAAGTCAAAGAGAGCAAAGTCTCGACTGTATGGAGATTGAAGAATAATTTTGATGCCCAAGTCTGTCAACAACAAATTTTTTTTGCCTATCGAGCTTGCAAACTGTTTTCACGTCTGCATTCGGCAAATTAGTCAACTGTGAGAAGCAGTGTTTAGCAGGGTGTGTTGAAAGAGGTGTCACAGCCATTTCCTTCAATTTGCAATGTCAAAAGTTGTCAGATCAGCTTAATTGATGGATAGTAATGATAGACTAAAAAATTATAATTATTTAGAACTGGCCAAAAAGCTTTTTTAAACTCTTAAAAGCATTATATATATATATATATATATATATATATATATATATATATATATATATATATATATATATATATGTGAAAAGTGTATATAAATATAAATAAATATATATATGTATAATTATTTATATATTATATGCGCGGTACTTATTAGAAAGCGCTCAATATCAAAGATAGTGTTAACATATTTGGTTGGATAGACATTCACGAGACATTTCCGCCACACATCCAATCTTTAAATTTCAACATACAAATGCGTATGTATAGACACAACACCACCCGTATACATACATATGTCATATTCGAAACTGCCCACATATGTTTATATATGTTTATATATGTATGAGACCCGACGGATGACCAAGTATGTATATGTGCCTGCATACATCGATGTTTGCGTTAGTACGCTGACATAAGCGACGAAATTTCCCCCACCACTTCCACAATAACACCAATACACGCAATCTACATAAAACCAAATTTTAAAAAAAATTAATCAGTTTGTCTGACGATCGCTAAAGCGTGAAACCCAGGGTCACAAACTCACATCTATCCAACCATATATATATATATATATATATATATATATATATATATATATATATACCTGTGCATCCTAACAGATACTTACAGATATATATATATATTTTTAAGTTTCTTAAATCCTTGGCGTGACCAAGTAGGCCTAACCTAAAAGTTTGATGCTTGTTAATTTGTTTAAAAATTCAGATAGTAACAGATATATATCTGCAAAAAGTCAGTATGAATATATAAAACAAATTTAACACTATTCTTTACCGGTATGTTTTGACTTGATAAAGTACATCAGAGGACGAAACGCGTCGGTAAAGAAAAGATTTTTCTTCTGTGTGTGTGTGTGTGTGAATTTATTCACACACACACACACACACACACACACACATATATGCATGCATGTATGTATGTATGTATATATATGCGTGTGTAAGAATATCAAAAAATGTCTGCATATATAAAGAAAGTGAATGCTATATATATATATATATATATATATATATATGCATATGGATTTTGAGCATTTGAATATTTATTATACACTACTCAGAAAAGTACACACACACATACACACAAACACACACACACATATATATATATATATATATATATATATATATATATATATATATATATATATGTGTTCGTGAGGGGTGAACATACAGATTCATAGGTGCTCCTAAGTACAATTGTGTGCCAAGATTTACTGATGAGAGTATACATGGATACGCACTCTTGTGTGCACATATGAAAAAGTTTTTGGAAAAAAAACGAAGCCCACCAGCTCGGCGTTACACAATACTGGTATAAGCTGAGTTTTGTCACGAACTGATCGAGGCATGTCATGGATATTCGAAGCAAAATTCGACAGTGCCACTTCTGAAAAAAATGCCCATTGTTCTAACAGTTTTACTCGGGGATGCTCCGGCAAGTTGACCCGCCAGCCATGGACGCATGCGCACTCGTTATCGCGTTCGCCCGCGCGTCAAGCACGGACAGCACAACCAAATTTTTGTTTCTTTCTTTCATTTTTGGTGTCGTTTTGTATCTTACTTTATTTATTTTTTTTTCTCAATTTTTTAATAATGCCAACGGTTGTTCGGCTGGATGATTTCTTATGTTGATGAAATATATGGGAAGTTAGAGAATGATGGATGTTGGATAAGGTAAATTAGATATTAGATTTGGGAGAGCTTTCGTTGGCGACTTTAGCTACCACGCAGAAGAAAGACTTCGACGAAAGTTTCCCTCCTCCGGAGAATGAATTTTATTTTAAATAATTGATTTTTTTCCCCTCCTTCTACTCTTCATTTTCATGACTTGTTCGGATTGAACAGGCGAATGAAATAACAAAACTTATTCTATGTATGAGAATTTCAAATAACTATCTACACGAATATGTTTTTTTTTTTTTGAATGCATTCTAAAAGAAAGAAAAAGAAAGAACTTAAACTAGATTCAAATCGTTAGATACAAACTTTCTCCAAACGTACATTGGTACTATTCTTTATGACTTGCAAAGGCTTGAAGAGAAAAAGACGCGCTATTTGTTCTATCTATACTCAG